CATACTGATGTATTCTTGTAATTTTAAAGCCTTAAGATCGTAAAAACATTCAATCGTATACAAGTTACAGCAAATGTTCACTGAGTAATGTGATACAAATGTTGACAACTGTGTACACGATCCAAGGCCACAGGTAGTCAAAGAATTAAATTCGTCTCCCACTTAGAATCGAATATCGTAGCAAACTGTTACAATAAGAGCTATAATTAAGCGCAAATGTATGTTGCTTTGACAAGTTTTCGACCTAATTGCAGTGGTAAATATTTTAGCGAAATGGGTATGAAATATATGTCTTCGACTGTACATGTTTGTGTAACACGATGACCAAGTGATTTAGAATTCGCTACAAAAAGCATGTACCACATTTACTTAGCCGGATAAACACAACACGTGACAGCATAATACCAGTCTGTTTTTTCTTGTATTAATTAACTACGCTATAAAACAACAATTCGCAAGTCTGCGCGTGTTAATGTTACCGTGAATTACCACTGCCAACATACATGTATAAAAATATTGTTTATAAACTTATACTATCTTAAACATACTTAGAAATTAACAACAAGCATAGCCCTAATTTATTTAATATATTGCATTTCAATACAAAATAAAATCCAATTTGAATCTATCACAACAAATAAATCTATCAAACAATAATAATAATAACATAATTTTTAAAGTGAAATGAAACAAAATAGACAGAATTTAAAATCCATTGTACGTTGAATTAGTTGACTTAACAGGAAAATAGCTGCATATGTTCAAAACATAAAAATAAAATAAACCATAAGTGGTTAAAATTAAAACAGACATGATATTCTAAAAAAATCGTGCTGCGAATCCGGACATATTAACTACATCAGCAGTAATAAACCTAAATGTGTGTGTGTAAATGGATTATTTGGAACTGCTTTTGTATCAGTTTTTATTAGTTGCGCTAAAGTAAGATAAAAAAAAGTCGTAACATCGAATTCAAAAACCGTAAACAATATTATCAAGAGTAAATTCAAGAACAATGCAAGACAAAAAATTGCACTAAAGACATAACGACCACTAAGAACCAGTAGCAACGAAATCACAAGTACAAAGCCGCAACGAGAGCGCCGGAGGATGCAGGCGCGTGCCGAGTTGAACGACCATGCGTTTCACTTTCATACACCCCGCCTCCCGCGTCCCGCACCCCGCCTCACTCCCCTCATCGCCCCCTCTAACGATTTCCGTTGCCAATTCAACTGCATAAACCAGCAACAGTTTTAAAGTAACCTTTTGCTATTCAAACTTTAACCTCTTCAATGCTATCACAAATTGAACCTAAGGAAAACCTCATCTATTTTTTTTAAATAGATACGTGTGTAAAGAGGAAAACCAATAAGAATAAAATATTAAAGAGGCAAAACTTTGTCACATTTTAAATATCTTTGACAAATTTGGCGATTCATTAATTGTATTCTATGAAGGCCCTTTCAAAAGCGAAAGTAAGAACCGGAAATTTTTAAGAAGCGATGGCGTCTATGGCGTATTGAACTGTGGTAACATCTTATATAATTTTTTGGATAGTAACAGTTTGTGGACAATTTGGCGGTAGAATAAATTGAAAATATGTACGACATTCCGTAACAATCGAGCTCGAGTTATTACTAGTACACCATTCCAAAACCGGTCCGGCGCCGTAAAAGCCGAATACCATAATCGACCTTTGAAAATATAGTTCAATATACCTAGAGAATGCATGGTTATCGCCAAAGATTGCTGTCCCACCCCCAGATTATCAAAAAATTAAAAGATACAATTACTGTGAAAAATTAAAATGCCCTTAATTCCGATAGATCCACATAGATTAGTAACTGAAAATCTTGTCCGTTATTTATTAAAAATTGGACTATTTAATATGGGCGTCACAGCCATGTTATGCTTTAATATAAAATATAGTCTTCATTACCTCTTATGTTTTCTTCCAATTTTCACAGAATACCTTACCAATATGGCCGTCGTCGTCGAGCTAATGCAACACCCTTATTCTGACATCCGACTACTATCCGATTATTAACATAACAAACACAATTACGACATTTTAAAACCATGTTATAAATATTTTAAATAATGTTTTGGATCACAATTACAAAGCTTGTATCGCTGTTTCAAATTATGACAAATGGTACTGATTTATAGCACAGACTAACAACCTTCAAGAATACAGAATACGTCAAAGTAGTCAAAAAGCTAACAATAAGGATTCTGATGAAAAATCCCATGAGAAAATGTATCCTTATTACAAATGGCAACATAATAATGTAAACATTGGTAGGCTGTACATTCGCTTACGCTTACCAAATATTCTCGGAATATTTTAAAAACATTTCTTCTCACTAAAGAATCTTCACTCTGTGTCGCAACATCCGATGAAAACATGAAATAGTTTATTGTCTATCGAGTTTGGAATTCAAAGTTTGTCTGTTTACAAGATTTAGGCACACACATTGGACAGTGATGACAAAACTCTGCGATAGGAATTGTTGCAAATTCCAAACATTCAACAATTTTCATATCCAAAGCAGTAAAAACATGAATGACTAGACCGCGACTTAATCCACGCAATATTAAATTTTAAAAAAAGTAGCCTACAATATACCCGACTATCAGCTACCCTTCAGTGAAAGTCCGGTCGAAAACGGCCCGGCCGTTTCAGAAATTGCCCGGAGCAAACGCGGCTTGCGTACAGACAGACAGACAAAATGTTTAAATGCGATTTTGGATTTTTGCAACGCATCTTACCAAAATCTGCAATCTTTCTTTTGATATAACAGACACTCCAATTTTTATATCTATAGATAGATTTATTATTTCACAATGCGGCAATCAAGGACATACCATCAGTAAGTTTAAACTTGAGCATAGTAATGTATAAGCACCTTGTTAAAACAAACGTTTATGAGTAATGGCATAGCCATTTTTCGTTTTGTGTGTATTACATGTACTTTGGTGTTTTTTTTTTCTTTTCAGTATATTTAATAAAACAATTATTTTACTAATATCTGATTAGTTACGCTTGAGTCATACATTTTGTTGACTAACAAGGAGAAAATGTCAATTTCCAAGTGAGTACCAGATACAATTTTGTTGGCCTCGTATCATTAGGTATTTAGCAATATTACTCATAAATGAATACAAAGCCTGCACCTAAAATAGCAACGTGTGACGTAAAAATGCATACGCGGCCACGCGGCCACACGATAAAGGTCTACCGGAAAAAGCGGAACATGGCCGTTGACTTTTGGCCTTAAACACATTCAGGAAGCGATACACGAGAACTATATTTGTATAGGTGTCCACGTCTCGCTAGTTTACTTTAACGGGCATGACTACGGTTTAGATTTATTTTCAGTACAACCCGGAACATATGACAAACGTAATGGATATGACAGTATCAGACTGCAAGTTATTGATTACGAGAAATACAAGCCATACTTTAAATAATACTTTA